TCCCAGCACTTTGGGAAGCTGAGGTGAGAGGATTGCCTGAGCCCACGGGTTTGAGACCAGCCTGGGCAACTTGGTGAGACCTCATCTTTACAATAAATAAAAAAAAATTAGCCAGGCATGGTGGCGCATGCCTGTAGTTTCAGTTACTTGGAAGGCTGAGGCGGAAGGATCACCTGAGCCCCAGCACATTGAGGCTGTGGTGGCTGTGAGCATGACACTGCAATTCAGCCTGAGCAACAGAGACTCCAATTCAAAATAAAAAAGTGACACTGTGCCAATTTCCAAGCCTAGGCAGTGGGGACCAGCAGTTGCTATTTCCTATCTCTTGGGACACTCACTTCCTGGATGCTCCTTCTCAGAACCCAGCTGCCACGCTGTGAGAAGCCCTTCCTGGGCTCAGGTGATCCTTCTGCCTCAGCTCCCAGGACAGCTGGGACTACAGATGTGCACCACCACACCCAGCTATTTTTGTAAAAATTTTTGTTGTAGAGATAAGTTCTCGCTATTGGCACAGTGTCACTTTTTTATTTTGAGTTGGAGTCTCTGTTGCTCAGCCTGAATTGCAGTGTCATGCTCACAGCCACCACAGCCTCAATGTGCTGGGGCTCAGGTGATCCTTCCACCTCAGCCTTCCAAGTAACTGAAACTACAGGCATGCACCACCATGCCCGGCTAATTTTTTTTTATTTATTTTAGAGATGATGTAGCTATGTTGCCCTGGCTAGTCTGGAACTCCTTGGTTTAAGCAATCCTCCCGCCTCAGTCTCCTAAAGTGCTGGGATTACAAGCATGAGCCACCACATCGGCCTAGGACTACAATTTTGATACAGGTTACCACACTAATGAACCTTGAATTATTATGCTACATGAAATAAGACAGACACGAGAAGATAAATATTGTATGATTCCAATCATATGAGCCACCTAAGTACCTATAAGGTACCTAGGCAAATTTAGAGACAGAAAATAGGACAGAGTTTACCAGAGGCCATGGGAAGGGAAGATGAGGAATTACTGCTTAATGAGTAGAGTATCTGAGAATATGAAAGTTCTGGAGATGGGAGTTGTAATGGTTGCACATGAAAATGTACTTAATGCCACTGAGCTGTACACTTAAAAATGGTTAAAATGGTAAAAAAAGAGAAAATGCTCCATTAGTATTCATACATATATACACACCAGAAACCATTTTTTGCAATCACATGCTTTTATATGTTTAGAATTGACAGCAATATTTACCACCAGATAAGTATTGACATGAATTATTCCTCAAAAAAGATAATTACTTGCTATATGTATGTGTGTGTGTGTGTGTGTGTGTGTGTGTGTATAAATCTGTATACACACACACACATACATACATAGACACCCCCCCACACACGAGGGGGACCAACAAAACCCTGGAATTTATTTATAAAAAAGTGTGTGCTGCCAGGGATGGTGGCTCATGCCTATAATCTCAGCACTTTGGGAGGGTGAGATGAGAGGATTTCCTGAGCCCACAGGTTCAAGATCAGCCCGGGCAACTTGGCAGGACCTCATCTCGACAATAAATCAAAAATTAGCCAGGTGTGGTAGTGCATGCCTGTAGTCCCAGCTACCTGGAAGGCTAAGGTGAAGGACTGCCTGAGCCCAGCAGGTCGAAGCTGCGGTGGCCATGAGCGTGCCACTGCACTCCAGCTTGGGCAACAGAGAGAGACTTTGACTCAGAAAAAAAAAAAGTGTGTGTTTACTTTTACATATTTAAACTTCTGTCACCTTCAAAGTACTCTCTGTTTGATGCAATGCATCTATCAAGATGCTTCTTCCACTGTCTAAAACAGTTTTTGAACTCAGCAATTTTGATGTCTTTTAGTGCTTCTGCCTTTTTTGTTTCACCTATTTCACGCTGGCAAAACTTTTCCCTTTGAGGACTTTTTTAATCTGGGGAAACAAAAGTAAATTGCTTGGGGCAAGATGGAGTGAATAGATGGGGTATAGGGTATGGGGGTCATGCTGTTTTTGGTCAAAAATTGCTGAATACTCAGTGCTGTATAGGCAGGTGCACTCATAAATCACCCATCATGAAATGGGCAAATGTGTTGAAAGAATCAACAAAAAAATTCACTGAAGTCAAACGTAGTCTCTCACAACACTAACTGGTACATTGATGCCAATGGGCTCCTAGAATACTCACCTAGTGGAGGAAGCCTGTAAACAAGGGGCCCGTCCTCTAAAAGATAATTCCATTTTTTGAGGGGACCCCTTCATATAATGATTTTGCTTAAAGCTAATATATATAGATATGCATATGTATATAAAAATGTGTGGAGGATGCAAGCTACACATCAAAATGCTAAATGGTTTTGGAGGGATATCGGGATTATAAATAACTTTTTCTTCCTTATTAAAAACAAAATCTCAGCTGGGCTCGGTGGCTCAGCCTGTAATCCCACGCCTTTGGGAGGCTGAGGTGAGTGGATTGCCTGAGCCTGCGGGTTCAAGACCCGCCTGGGCAGCGAGACCTCATCTCTACAATTAAAAAAAAAAACAAAAACCAGCCGGGCGTGGTAGCGCATGCCTGTAATTCCGGCTACTCGGAAGGCTGAGGCGGAAGGATCGCCAGAGCCCAGCAGGCGAGGCACTCCAGTCTGGGCGACAGAGTGAGACTCCAACTCAACAATAACAACAACAACAACAACAACAAAAATCTCCCACCAAACCTGTGGTTATTCATTCCACGAATAAAAGCTATTCATTCCAAGAAATTAGACGTTGAACCTGGATTTAAACTTTGTACAGTTGGGAACCCAATAAGAAAAAATAAGAAACCAAAAGAACTGCTCAGCTAAGCCTAGTATCCACTATGAGAATAATAAGTTGTTGTTAGGTCACTCATTTTTGTAGTTGTTTATTACACAGCAACAGATGACAGCTCCATCTGCTGTTCTCTTCCGCATCCACTCCATACTAGCCACACCCTGGCCTCCTTTCTGCTCCTTGACCTCACCAAGCTTGTTCCCATCTCAAGGCCATTGCTCTTGACATCCCTGCCACAAACTTCCTTTCCCCCAGCTCAGGACATGGCTGGTTACCTCTCATCCTTCAGGTCTCGGCCCTGTCAATCACACAGCCTCTGTTTATGTCCTTCTAAGCACTTATGTCATTCTGGAACTATCCCATGTAAACATTTATTTACTGCCTCTGCCATTAAACTATGAGCTCTACCAGGGCAAGGGCCTCGTCTGCCTTATCTTGCCAGTATCTTCGGCGTCCAGCCAGTCCTTGACACTCAGGAAGTGCTTCCTAATTGTTTTGAAGGAAGGCAGGCCTGTCCACATGGCCCTAACTCCCTCAAACTCCCTCCAGGGACTTCATCTTCCCTACTAGTCTTCATTTCCCAAAAATTCAGCTATAAGGTACAGCATCCTCAAACTCTTCCACAATTCTTACAATCCAACAAACTCAAACAAGACTATGGGCAACAAACAAACATTTCAGCAATATTTCTCAACGGAAGCATCCATGCAGCATCATCCCTTCTCCTCCTACTAGGATTGCGTGCTTCTTCTAACTTTTTGGAATTTGCTTTTAGAGCTGTTTTTAGAGTTGGTGGTATTTTTTTTCCCCTGGCATATTGTCAATTAGGACAGACTTCCATCCTTTTAGGATAGATCTGCCTTTTGGCAATAGTTCCAGGTCACTGGGAGGTGAATGGGGAGAACCAAGCAGGTGGACAGATGGGAATGTCCTATCTGGGATCAACAATGAGGGGGATCTGAATCTGCCATGACTGAGTATCCTCAGTAGCTCAGGAACTAGCACTAAAGATAAGCCCAGAAAGGAATTGGCAGCTTTAAAGGCACAGCTACTTAATCCATGGTGATTAAGAATTGGTGCTTTGTTGGTCACACTGGCACAAGGACGGGACCAGCAGATGCTGGACACAGACAGGAGAGGGAGGGAGGGAGGAGGCCATGTGGCAACACACTGGGTACCAAGTCCACTATCAGGGGAAGAGGGGACAAGGTAGAAGCCCAAACTTCACCTGCATGCAACCTACTTAGGTAGTAGATCCCTACTTGAATTCCACAACTCAAAACAAAAAACAAAAAAACAAAAACAAAAAGAATTAGTGCTTTGGAGTCAAACTGCTTGGGTTCAAATCCCAGCTCTGCTACTTCAAGCTTCTTGCTCAAGTGACTTCACTCCTTTCTGCCCCAGTTTCTCTACATGTAAAATATAGATGATAATAACATCTATGTCACAGACTTGCAGAAAGGCTCAGCTAACCTAATGCCAAATGCTGCGATCACACACGAATTCCCATGTTCCTCATACCACCTGAACACATCTGACTTCTAAGCCCATGACCTCTCCTGTCATTCTGCAGCATCAAAGGGAAGTGTACCATGTTAGTTCTCGTTACTATAACTAGACCACAGATCCTGGAAGACTGGGGCTGGGTCTTCCTCATTTTCCATATCACCTTTCGCCTCTGAGAACTATGTCTCACACATGACAGACGCTCTATAAATATTTCACAGCCTGTGCCCATGCCCTGCTAACCTACATTTTTTTTAAACAGGGCCTAATGGGGTATAATTAATGAAGCACATCCAATAATTATCAGATGACATCATTTCTTGGTCTTCACCTGAAGTTGTTCTTCTCTAGAAGCTGCTTCCAGTTTTCACCTTGTGAAGAGGAAGGTAACAGGGGATTGATTCTCACGCCTAGAGGAGGAAACTGAAACTCATGTGACTGCACAATGTTCTTTTTATAACACCCTTATCAGCCAATAAACTCTTGCTCAACCTCATGGCAGGTCAATGTCCCACCGTGTCAGGTGTTGAGATGGGAACAGATCACACAAAATCCCAAGTCCAACAGACAGAGTGCCTGCACCTTTGGTCTCACACATCAGGGTGGGGTAGAAGGGGAGAGGGCCAGGAAGGGGCTGAATGCCATGAGCCCCACGCCCCAACCCTAAACCCAGCAACATTGCCCCCTCCAAGTACCTCTGGATCCATTGTTCTTTGTAGGAAGCGCTGAAGGAAATGCCTGTAAAAAGCTCCGACTTATTGAAACTCACATGAAACTGATCCCAGAATGGGCCAAAGGGGTTTCCTTCCTGCAGAAAGAGAGTGGTGGAAGGTTTACTGAGGTGGAGGGATGGGGCCACAACTACGGGGGGGGGGGGGGGATCCTGGTGATTGACTCAGGCCACCCTCAGGCCAGGGAGGAATATTACTTGGTGATTCCTGAGCTGGGGGCTGAGGAAAGACCTCAATGTCAATCCTAGTTTCCTTCAGGAGTCTTTCCCACTCACGAGCCCCATCGCACTGACCCTTTAGCACTGGTGAGGGTCTGGGGAGCAGTGGACCTTGGATTTGGAACCATGGACTAGAGCATCAAGAGACTTTCAAAGCTGGCTAATCCAATGCCTTCATTTTCAAGATGGAAACCAGGGTCCACAGAGGGTAAGACATTTGCCTTAGGTCACACAGCAAGTGAGGGCATTATAGGGGCTGTAAAGTAGGTCTCCTTTCTCACATTCCATAGCTCTTCCAACCATTATCTTCTGACTTCAGCATACACATTGAAAGACATATTTGGAGGCTTTTTTATTCCCAAAGTGCCAGAAATGTATACATTTCTACTAATAAAACACAATAGCTTCTTATTTATCTGCCAGAGGAAAGTAAGTAGTTGAAAGGGTGAACAATGGAGCCAAATTACCTAGGGTTGAATCACTACTCACCACTTGTTTGTTGTGGGATCTTAAGTAAAATATTGAACCTCAGTGTCGTCTCTATAAAATGGGGATGTTATTACTCTTTTCTTCAAGGAGCAGTTTGAGGATTAAATGAGTTAACACACGTAAAGCTCTTAATATGGTACCAGACACATAGTAAGTACTGCTTGAGTGAGTATTAGTTATTATTACACATCTGGCATTTTACAGTTTACAAGCACTCTCACACCTGGCCCCTATGTTACTTTATGAGGAGACAGAGCAGGGACTGGCATCTCTATTTTGTAGGCAGAAAAGAGGGTTCAGAGAAGCCAAGTCTTTTGCCCAAGGTGATACTGTTGACAAATGCCAGAAATAGGACTTACATCCACCTTTCTACTCTAAACCCTTTTGGTGCCCTTCCCCACATATTGCCATCATATAGTCTCAGGGGCCTAGAGGACATGGAACTGGCAGAAAAGACCCCAACCATAGGACCCACCTTCATGGGGCACGTCTTCTTATCAGGGCTTCGCTGGGCTGCCACCTCAAAGCAGTATGCCACCCGCTTCTCTGGGGGCCAGTGGGTGGGTGCCAGCCTCTCCATAAAGTCCTCCAAGCTGATGACCCGATGGTAGGCCTGGAGGGACTCCAGTTTGAAGTACTTCTGGTAGGACACATGAAGCTATAGGAAAAGGAGGAAAAGAGAGGCAGACGTCCCTCCTTAGTGTGCCAGTGGTTGTTTTAGAGACAGTTATTAAAACCATTTGCTCCAAGACCAGGACAGCTTAGACTGCAGGACAACGAAAGTCTTTTGTCAAGATACCAAAGTTAGGACAAAGATAGGCTGGGAGAAGATTATCAGCAAACTAAAGAGTTAAAAAATGCCTGTGGAGCCGGACACGGTGGCTCACGCTTGTAATCCCAGCACTTTGGGTGGCAGAGGAGAGAAGATTGTCAGAGTCCAGAGATTTGCGAGTAGCCTGGGCACCTTGGTAAGACCTCATCTCTACAATAAAATAATAATAGTAGCCGAGCTCGGTGGCTCAGCCTGTAATCCCGCGCCTTTGGGAGGCTGAGGTGAGTGGATTGCCTGAGCCCTCAGGTTCGTGACCCGCCTGGGCAGTGAGACCTCATCTCTACAGTAAATCAAAAAATCAGCCGGGCGTGGTAGTGCATGCCTGTAATTCTGGCTACTCGGAAGGCTGAGGCGGAAGGATCGCCGGAACTTGGCAGGTCGAGGTTGCGGTGGCCGGGAGCGGCCACTGCACTCCAGTCTGGGCGACAGAGTGAGACTCCAACTCAAAAAAAATAAATAAATAAAATAATAATAATAATAATAATAAGCCGGGCTCAGTGGCTCAGCCTGTAATCCCGCGCCTTTGGGAGGCTGAGGTGAGTGGATTGCCTGAGCCTGCGGGTTCGAGACCCACCTGGGCAACTTGGCGAAACCTCATCTCTACAATAAATCAAAAATTAGCCAGGCGTGGTAGCGCACGCCTGTAGTTCCAGCTACTTGGAAGGCTGAGGTGGAAGGATCGCTGAAGCCTAGCAGGTCAAGGCTGCGGTGGCTGGGAGCGGCCACTGCACTCCAGTCTGGGTGACAGAGTGAGACTCCAACTCAAAAAATAAAAAAAAATAAAAAAATAAAAAAAATAATAATAATTAGCTGGGCGTGGTAGCGCACCCCTGTGGTTTCAACTACTTGGAAGGTTGAGGCAGAAGGCTTGCCTGAGCCAGCAGATCAAGGCTGCAATGGCCATGAGTGTGCCACTGCACTCCCACCTGGATGACAGAGTGAGACTCCAACTCAAAAAGAAAAAAGAAAAGAAAAGCCTGTGAATCTGTAAGAAAAAAGATAGGGTAACCCCTTCAGGTCCCCTCCCACTGTGAGAGCTTTCCTGTCCTCTTAATAAATCCTGCTTTAAAAAAAGAAAGAAAAAAGACAAATGATGTCAAGAGAAAATATGGGCAAAGGTTAGTGGTTAACAGCTCAGAACAAAGGAAACCCAAACAGCCAATACACTCAAACATGTGTAAGTGCAGCCTCACCAGTAACGGGGAAAAGCAAGTTACAAGTATAACAAGGTAGTACTTCTCACCCATGAGACTGGAAAAACTTAAAGCTAACTCTAACTGTTGGAAAGGATGTGGAAAGATGGGCATTCTCATCCGCGGCTGGCAGCAAGAGTGTACAGTTTGGAGCAATTACTACTTTAGGATACAATCTGTCAGGACGCAAAGGGATTTAAAATGCTTCTTTCACCTCTGGGCATTTGCCCTAGGGAAGTTCTTGCACTTTGCACTTAGAGATGGGGGCAAGGATGCTTAGTGCCACAGTGAAAGTCCAGGAAAGAACTTGAAGGAGTCACACTAAAGGACTAGGACTCGCTACAGGGGCAAAGGAGACTATCTTTTATCATCTTTACCTGAAACATTTTATGTATTTAATTCACAAAAAGAGAAGATGAAGCCAAGATGAGAAAGTGCTATGATGATCACTTCTAGTGGTGGGTACATGGATGATGGTTGTATGCATCTTATATTTTTCTAGATTTTAAAACAATTTCCCAGAATACCATGAGATAAAATTTGGACTTTATCCTACAGATCGGGTTTCCCAGTGTACCCCACTAGTTTGAGTGGATAGAAGTCTCTGTAATAAAAATATCCAGAGTTAAAGAGGCTTGAAAATGCTGTTTTAAGCTGGTTTCTTTACTGCAGGGCTTCTCAGGGCCTTTAACATGCTAATGTGCGTTGGGAATCTGTACATCTGGGGGGATCAGAAATTGAAAATATAATTTCCTCAATTCATTTAACTACTGCACATTTCCTGCATGAGCTATTGGCATTCTAATAAGCAAACTGCTGACACCTTAACTATTAGTAATGAGGCATTGCTAAAGGATTTTAAGCAGTAATAATATGAGATTTGCCTTTTTTGAAAGCTCACTGGTGGCAGAGAGAATGCACTGATGCTAGGATTAGAGGAGAATTAGGGAGCTACTGTAATGATCCTTTTATGTATTTAATTCACAAAAAGAAAAGATGAAGCCAAGATGAGAAAGTGCTATGATTATCACCTCTAGTAGTGGGTACCTGGATGATGGTCGTATGCATCCTCTCCCGGTCTCAAATATGCATTTAACATGTATTTATTGGGCACCTTCCACATATCTAGGTGAGAGGCGGAGAGGCATAGGCAGGCAGAAGATACAAAGGAAGAGAAGCAGAGGTTTGAAGGCTGTGTGCACAGGTCAAGGGAGGATTCAGGATGACCCTCAGGTTCCTTGTGTGGTACCCAGGTGAATGGAAATGACATCAACTAAGGCTGGGAACATAGAAGGTGACACAGGTTTGAGGGGAAAGATGCCAAGTTCAGTTCTGGCTTTGGGAATTTGAGATATCTGTAGATATCCAAAAAAACTTGAGGTTCTAGAAGTCAGAAACACAGGCCTGTGGTCAGAGGAGAGCCTCTGGGCCACAGATTAAACCTAGGAGGTATGTGGAAAATAGTAAAAGGCACAAGAGTCCCCAGAAATTTATAGCAAAGTATGTAGTGGTAATATTTGCAAATACTATTTATTGCATGTTGATATAGTGCCAGGTACTGTGCTCACTTGACATAGACATGGCCATCTAATTCTAAGACGTAGGAATACAATCTTCTCTAGCTTACTTATGAAGAAACCTGGGTATACAGCATCTAGATGACTCACCTGAGGCTACAGAGCTACTAAGCAAACCGAAAGAGGAGAAACAACCCCTCCACAGTTAGTGGAGAGAGAGGAGCCCTGACACAGAGGAGAATGCTGAGAGGACAGGACTGCAGCAGGAACAGGGAAGTTAGGAAGGAGAGAGGCTCACGGGGCCTGGTGCCACTGGGAGGTCAGGTGAGAGAAAGACTGAGAAATGACCCCTAGATTTGGCAAGCTGAGGTCCCTGATGACCTCAGTGAGAACGGTCACAATGGGGAAGGGAAGTCTAACTGGGGCAGGTTAGTAACTCATGGAAAGCAAGAGAATGAAGACTCAGAAAGACGACTGGTTTAGCAGGCAATAAGACACAGGGCAACCAAGCCTGAATGGTGAGTGTAAACGGTCTGAACAGCAACAGCTCTCAGGTACTGAGGGATTCCTGTGTCCTGCGCTCTTCACACTGATGAGCTCAGCTGGTTCTAAGGGGGAGGCAAACAGCGATGTTCAAGGAATGTTACCATCACTACCTCATTCAATCCTCACCACAAGAGGCGGCAATAATCATTGCCAGCCTATCCTAAAGCTGAGGAAACTGAGGCACAAAGAGGTTTAGTACACTGCCAAGGCCACACAACTAGTAAGTGACCAAGTCAGGGTGCCTCAGGTACTCTGGCTTTTAACCTCTGTCAACAGCTTCTCTAAATATCAGCATGGAAAGGAAAAAGTAAAACATATGCAGAGAAAAGGTTGTGAGAAGGAAATAAAGTGTTTTGTACACACTAAGTATAATTTCTGATGTCTATTCAAGACTTATTAGATTGATCCATCAAATATTAATGAAGCTCCTACTGCCAGGCCCCTGGAGATACAATGCGAACAAAGACAGACATGGGGTCATTGGAGAACACAAAGAATAAGCAAGGACCCAGAGGACGATGAGCACCACCAGGACCAAGGAGCCCCATCAATGGGAAGAGGGTGGCCCTGGAGCCAGACTGCCTGGGCTGTACCTCGGAGACCTTATTACCTAACTGTTGCTTCCATTTCTCCTTTAAAAGTGATCATAGCATCCTTTACCAGTTGGCCAATGGAATGCATAGAGGGTAGGACCAGTCAGGGCTGGAAATGGAGGCTTGACGTTCAGGTCACAGGCTCTGGAGTTGGACAGACATGGCTTGAATTCCAGCTCTGCTCGTCACAAGCTGTGTGATCTTGGGAAGTGACCTGACCTCTGTAAGCCTCGGCTTCCTCATAGGGATGTGGTGAGGGTGAAATGAGAGAGTCTTCATGCAGCGCTCAGAACATTGTTATTCCAGAGAAAACAGTTCAGGGTGGGAGTAGGGTGAGCTCAGCAGAGTAGGAAGCAAAGCCCCCAGCAGGACTTGGGGGTTAAGCAGAAGAAAGCAGGACTGGGAAAGTGTGGGCAAAGGCAAAGGCCAGTGGGAAGTACTCACATTGGTGAAGGGAGGTTTGTGATGCTGGTACTCGATCCAGGGAGGTATAGCCAAGGTGCGGTTTAGCAGCTTTGCAAATGCCAGAGAACCCAAGAAGTGGTCAGCCTGGTTGCCGAAGCGCCCTAGAAAGGGGACACTGCGGGTGAGGTGAGGCCTGGGGCATCGAGGGCGTGGGGCATGCCGGGCTCAGAAAGGATGTGGAGCCAGGTGTGGGGATGGCCAGGACCCCGAGGAGAGCTGCAGGAGCTGGCAGCATGGGATCAAGTCAGGACTCCTGGGCTCTTCAGCCCCTGCTCTAATCACATTGGCCACTCCAGGCTCCTTGCTGTTTCTCCAACATGCTCCCCAGTCCCACCTCTTCCCCATGCCTTTGATCTTGCTAGTCCCTCAGCCAGGAGTGCCCTTCTACCTCTATCCCCATTCACCTGCACAGGAAGAGGTGACGCCAATGCCTCATACCCTGGGATCCTTTGCCAACCCCCTGCCAGACTCGCTCTCCCTCCTCTGCCTGCTACATTGGATATGTGTTTCTTAAGTTCTTCCTTTTCCTCAAATGTCTTTTTTCACGTTCTGGCCTTTGCACAGGCTGTTTCCTCAGCCCGTGAATGCCTCAGGGCAAGGACTCTATCTGATTATTTTTGTTAATTCCACTATGGCATCCAGTCTTTCACTCCACAAACATTATTGAGAAGCCACAGCATGCCAGGCTCCGTGCTAGGTGCTGGGATGCAGGAGTGAGCAAGGACAAGATGCTCATAGACCAGCTGGGACAACACTAAACATGTAGACAAACACATAAGGATACATTCTGATAATTGTACAAGGAAATGGAAACGTTTGGTTAGCAGGAATATGAGATGACTTGGGTAGAGGTCAATGAAGTCCTTTCTGGTGACATTTAAGCTGAGACTCGAAGAATGGGAAGCAGTTGGTCAGGAAGTGAGGGGAAGAGGCTCCAGGCGTGGGGAACAACAGTACATAGGACAGCACAGGTTGGAGGACGAAGGATGTGTGAGGAACAGAAGGAGATTAAGTGTGGCTGCAGTTGGACGATCAGAGAAGGGAGTGTGGCGATGACTTTGTGGAGTCCAATCATCAAGGCCCTGAAGGCCAAGGTCAGGAGTGGGGAAGCCGCTGGAGGGGTTAAAAAGCGTGATGATCCACTTTTGCAATGCTGTACCACACTCCACCTAAAGCGGACCCCTCAAATGGCCCTGCGATTCCCCCTTACTAGCACTCATTATCTTCTAAGAACTTCTGTTTTATGTTTATCCCTGGTTGCGTGTCTTCCCCAACTAAAATGAAGTTCTACAAGGGCGTGGGATTAGTCTGTCTTACTCACTGCCCTGTCCCGGCACGGAGACCAGGGCCTGGCACAGTACAGGCGTCCCATAAATATTTGCTGAATGAATGAAGAATCGCCAGGAGCTAGCGTGGGTCCGTGACATCAGGTGCTGCCCCACCGACTCCATTTACTGGACTCCGGTCTGGCTTAGACTCCGAGCAAGATCCATAACCTCTCCCAGCCTCAGTTTTCTCATCTGTCAAATGGAAGACTGGACATGGGGACCCCGCTGTGCCCTTGCAACGAGGGCAGAGAGGTGAAGAACAGGCCTGCCCTGCTCTGGAGTTCTCTCCCGGACCTGTCAGGATGTCTCTGGGCGCCTCAGAGGAGTAGCTGCTCCTCTCCCGGCCTCAGTTTCTCCACTGAGCAGAGGGCCCAGGAGGCCTTACCCATACAGGGACAGTAGAGCAGGTAACCGGCCGGGTCCCAGGAGCCTGCGGGCAGCCCCGGGAGCGGCAGGAGCAGCAGCAGGAGAGACACACACGGCGGCAGGGGCGGCAGCGCCCACGCGGCGGCGCCCATATCGGCCCCAGAGCTCGAGCGCGCCGCGGCGCAAGGACG